CACCATGGAATATTACGCAGCCATCAAAAACGATGAGTTCACGTCCTTTGTAGGGACATGGATGAACCTGGAAACCATCATTCTCAGCAAACTGACACAAGAGCAGAAAATCAAACACCGTATATTCTCACTCATAGGCGGGTGTTGAACAATGAGAACACATGGACACAGGGAGGGGAACACTACACACTGGGGTCCGTTGGGGGGAAATGGGGGAGGGACGAGGGGGTGGGGAGGTGGGAAGAGATAGTATGGGGAGAAATGACAGATACAGGTGAGGGGACGGAAGACAGCAAACCACATGTACCTATGCAACAATCTTGCATGTTCTTCACATGTACCCCAAAACCTAAAATGCAATAAAAAAAAAAGAAGGCAAAAAAAAAAAAAAAGAAGAAGAGCAAAACCCAAGACACATAATCATCTGATTCACCAAGGTTGAAACAAAGCAAAAAATGTTAAGAGTGGCCAGAGAGAAAGAACAGGATACCCACAAAGGGAAGCCCAACACAGTAACAGCAGATCTCTCTGCAGAAATCTTACAAGCCAGAAGCAAATGAGGGCCAATATTCAATATTCTGAAAGAAAAGAATTTTCAATGCAAAGTTTTGTATCCAGCCACACTAAGTTTCATAAGTGAAGGAGAAATAAAATCAAATCCTTTACAAACAAGCAATTCCAAAATTGACCACATAATTGGAGGCAAAACATTCCTCAGCCAATGCAATAGAATGGAAGTCATAGAAAACAGTTGCTCAAACCAAAGTGTAATCAAATTAAAACTCAGGATTAAGAAACTCAGTCAAAACTATACAACTACATGAACACTGAACATAGGTATACACATGCTAGGTGATTTGCTGCATCCATCCCCTCATCATCTACATTAGGTATTTCTCCTAATGTTAGTTTTCCCCAATCCGCCCACCTCCTGTTATCCCTCCCATAGCCCCCTCATCTCCTGACAAGCCCTGGTGTGTGATATTACCTTCCCTGTGTCTATGTGTTCTCATTGTTCAACTTCCGCTTATGAGTGAGAACATGCTGTGTTTGGCTTTCTGTTGTTCTGTTAGTTTACTGAGAATGATGGTTTCCAGCTTCATTCATGTCCCTGCCAAGACATAAAATAATCCTTTTTATGGCTGCATAGTATTCCATGGTGTATATGTGCCACATTTTCTTTATACTGTCTATCATGTAATGGGAATTTGGGTTGTTTCCAAGTCTTTGCCATTGTGAACAGTGCAGCAATATACATACATGTCAATGTGTCTTTATAGTAGAATGATTTATAATCTTTTGGTTATATACCCAGTAATGGGATTGCTGCCTCAAGTATATTTCTAGTTCTAGATCCTTGAGGAATCATCACACTGTCTTCCACAATGGTAAAACTAATTTACACTCCCACCAACAGTGTAAAAGCATTCCTATCTCTCCATATCCTCTCTGGCACCTGTTGTTTCCTGACTTTTTAATAATCCCAATGTGGGTTTGATTTGCATTTCTCCAATAACCAGTGATGATGAGCCTTTTTCCATATGTTTGCTGGCTGCATAAATGTCTTTTTTTTTAGAAATGTCTGTTCATATCCTTCACCCACTTTTTGATGAGGTTGTTTGGTTTTTTTCTTGTAAATTTGCTTATTTGCAGATTCTAGATATTAGCCCTTTGTCAGATGAACATATTGCAAAAATTTTCTCCCATTCTGTAGGTTGCCTGCTCACTCTAATAATAGTTTCTTTGGCTATGCAGAAGCTTTTTAATTAATTAGATCCCATTTGTCCATTTTGGCTTTCATTGTCATTTCTTTTGGTGTTTTAGTCATGATGTCTTTTCCCATGCCTATGTCCTGAATTCTATTGCCTAGGTTTTCTTCTAGAATTTTTATGGCTCAAGATCTTATATTTAAGGCTTTAATCCATCTTGAGTTAATTTTTGTATAAGATGTAAGGAAGGGATCCAGTTTCAGCTTTCTGCATATAGCTAGGCAGTTTTCAAAACACCATTTATTAAATGGGGAATACTTTCCCCATTGCTTGTTTTTGTTGGGTTTCTCAAAGATCAGATGGTTGTAGATGTGTGGCATTATCTCTGAGGCCTCTGTTCTGTTCCACTGGTCTTTATATCTGTTTGGTCTACATATGTTTTGGTACTACTACTATGAGAGTACTTCCTATGATTTCCATTATTTTGCATTTACTGAGGAGTGTTTTACATCCAATTATGTGGTCAATTATAGAATATGTGCAATGTGGTGCTGAGAACAATATGTATTCTGTTGATTTGGGGTGGAGAGTTTTGCACTTTTCTATTAGGTCCACTTGGTCCAGAGCTGACTTCAAGTCCTGGATATCCTTGTTGATTTCCTGTCTCTTTGATCTGTCTAATGTTGACAGTGCAGTGTTGAAGTCTCTCAGTATTATTGTGTGGGAATCTAAGTCTCTTTGTAGGTTTCCAAGAACTTGCTTTATAAATCTGAGTAATCTTGTATTGGATGCATAATATTGAAAATGGCTCTGCTTTTTTCATTGATTTCTTTACCATTATGTAATTCAATCTTGGTACGTTGCACAGGGGTCTTCAAAATGTTCATGAAAATGCATATTATGAAAAAATATGCATGGATTTAAAAATGTTTGCACCAAAATAAACTCATAAATTCATTATAATATGTATCAGCAGACTCTATTTTGAGGCATAAAAAAGATAAGCCACCGGTTTGAAAAAAGCCCCTATCTGAGCAACATAAATTTTGCTAAAATTGAAACAAGAAAAAACATTCAATTTATGATAAAATTTGGATAGTAGAATGGCAAAATCATTGATGACTTGCAAAAAGCAAAATGAATCAGCAGTTTACAAATGAATATCTCATTTTAAGAAGAGAAAAACTGATGTCGAAAATGAATCTCACAGACCATTAGCATCAATTTGTAAGGAAAAACATAAATCTTAGATGTGCCCTAATTGAAGAGAACAGATAACAGCACAAAGAATAGCCAACACCATAAACATCTCAATGGATTCAGCTTACACAATTCTGCCCTGTCCCCCTACCACCAAGAAAAAGAAAGAAAAAGAAAATAGACTTTTCACTCAATGGGTGTCAAAACTGCTGTGCATACATCAGCTACAGACAAAAACAGAGCCTTCAATGGAAATTTTAAACAAACAGGATCAAGATCCTGAAGCATTTCTTTAAAAAATCATATTACAGGAAGTGACACATAGCTTTACCAGTATGATCCTGCAAATAAAGCAAAATCAAAGCCATGGCTACCAAGAAGTGGAAGTGGGGTCTAGTCAAAACAAAACAAGACCATTAAAGAACAAAGGTAATGGTAAAACTTTTCAGTGTGCTTAATGCATTTTGCTGTTAACTTTTTGGAGGGCCAAAGAATGAAAATATCTGCTTATTAAGAGAGTGTTTTCAGAAATTTGGCAAAGCTTTAGCAGAGAAACACCCAAGGAAACCAATAAAGTGTCCTTCTCTACCATGAAAACCATGACAATGTTCCTACTCATTTCATTCATCAAACAATGGCAATTTTTGTAATTTTGCAAAAGTTTCATGGAAAATCATTAGCCATCCATTAGTATAAGGTGAATTACTTTACAGTCCTAATTTGGCTCCTTTGTCTTCTTTTTATTTCATAATGTCAAAAAAATCTTTAGAGGATACCCATTTGGTTTATAATGTAAAATAGACTGCATTGACATGGTTAAATTTTCAGGATCCAGCTGGACACAGTGGCTCATGCCTGTAATCCCAGCAGTTTGGGAGGCCAAGGTAGACAGATAACCTGAGATCAGTTCAAGACCAGCATAGCCAACATGGCAAAGCCCTGTCTCTACTGAAAATAAAAAAATTAGTTGGGCATGGTAACACATGCCTGCAGTTCCAGCTACTCAGGAGGCTGAGGCAAGAAAATCACTTGAATCTGCAAGTTGGAGGTTGCAGTGAGCCAAGGTCATGCCTCTGCACTCCAGCCTGGGTGAGAGAGCAAGACTGCCTCAAAAATTAATTAATTAATTAATTAATTAATTTTCAATACACTCAATTCTTAATAAATGAACAAAATGGCAGGTATCATCACTTACAAACCTATCTTGAGCTTGATGGAACTTACTTTGAGAGACGAATTTAATATTTTTATTTTCAACTTTTAATTCTATTTTTCCATAAACTTTTTGAAGCCTCATCATATGTTTCTATAAATTTCTCCATTTCTTTTAGTTTGTTCAATTTACTGACATAGAATGGTTTATAATATTCTCTCAAATCGTGGCATCAGATTGAGTCTCCTTTTTCACTTCTAATTATTTTCAGCCTTCTCCCTTGCTAGTTTATAAAAAGTTTTCTCAATTTTACCTTTTTCAATAAACTAAGTTTTATTGATTTTTGTATTGGCTTTTGGTCTCTTATTTATTTATTTCTATTCAAAACTTTATTTCTTCTTGTAACCTCAGCATTAGTTTCTTGTTTCTTTTATTGTTCCTTGAGGTATACAGTTAGGTTTTGTACTTAAGATTTTTTTTTTAATGTCGGCATTGACCACCGTAAACATCATTCTCAATGCTGCTTTTGATACATTCTATAAGTTTTGGTGTGTTGTATTTTCTTTCATTTCAAGGTTTCATTTTCTCTTGATTTCTTCTTTGACACATTACTTGTTCAAGAGTATGTTTTTTAAATTTTATATATTTGTAAATTTTAAATTTTTCTTTCTGCTTGATTTCTACTTTTATTCAATTGAGTTAAAAAATTTTAATATGATTTAACCTTCATCAATTTTGGAAGACTTTTCTTGTTACCTGATTTATGATATCAAATAGAGAAGGGCTCATGTACACTTGGGAAGAAAGTGTATTCTTGCGTGGTTGGCTGGAATGTTCTAAGTAAGTCTGTTAGGTTTATTTGGTCTATAGTGTTTTCCAAGTACTCTATTTCTATATTTTTTTCTTTTTAAAAATTTTTTGTTTGTTTGTTTGTTTGCTTTAATATGAAATGCTTCACGAATTTGCTTTTCATCCTTGCTCAGGGGCCATGCTAATCTTCTCTATATCTTTCCAATTTTAGTATGTGTGCTGCAGAAGTGAGCAATCTATTTCTATATTGATTCTGTCTGGATGTTCTGTAGCTGTCCATTTTTTTCTTCAGTTTTGTTAAAGTTTTCTTTATATACTTGGGTGTGCTGCTATTGGGTACATATATGTTTATTATATATTCCTGGTGAATTGACCCTTTTATTATTATGTAATGTTCTTCTTTGTCTCCTGTGACAGTTTTTGACTTAAAGTTTATTTTTTCTAGTATCTGTATGGCTACCTCTGCTGCCTTTTGTTTAATATTTACATAAAATATTATTTTCCATTCTCTCACTTTTGCATATGTGTGCACCTTAATCTAAACTGAGTGTTTTATATCTTAGATACTGTTGATTCACTCTGTCTTTTGAATGGATAAATCAATCAATTTACATTTATAATTACTGATAGTAAAATCCTTACTATTTTAATTGTTTTATGTATGTGTTACAGTTTTCCATCTCTCTTTTCTTCTTTTGCTGTCTCATTCTGTGTTCTGTTAATTTTTGTAGTGCCATGCCTTGATTTATTTTTTTGTCTTCATTTAATTTTATTTTATTTCATGTTCGGGGTTACATGTGTGTGATTGTTACATAGGCATATTGCATATTGGTGGGAATTGGGCTTCTTACATACCCATATTTAACAAAATACTGAACACAGTACCCTATAGGTAGTTTTTCAAACCTAACCCATCTAATGTCCTCCCATTTATCGGAGTCCTCAGTGTCTATTATTTCCACTTTTATGTCCATATGTACTCATTATTTAACTCTCACTTATAAGTGAGACTATTCAGTGTTTTATTTTCTCTTTCTGAGTTAGTTTACGTAGGAGCCACAAGCTCCCTCCATGTTACTGCAAAGAACATTGTTTTATTCTTTATTATGATTGCGTAGTATTCCATGGTGTATACTTACCACAGTTTCTTTATTCGGTCAACTGCTAGTGGACTCTTAGATTGGTTCTATGACTTTGCTATTGTGAATAGTGTTGCAATAAATATATGGGTACTGGTGTCTTTTATGTATGATTATTTCTTTTCCTTGAGTAGATGCCCAGTAGTGCAACTGCTGAATTAAATAACAGTTATATTCTTAGTTCTTTGAGGAATCTTCACACTGTTTTCCATAGAGGATGAACTAACTTACACTCCCAACAACAGTGTATAAGGGTTTTCTTTTCTCTGTATCTATGCCAATATCTGTTGTGTTTTGAATTTTTAATAACAGCTATTCTCATTGATATAAGATGATGTCACATTGTATGTTTTAATTTGCATTTATCTAATGATTAGTGATGTTGAGCATTTTTTAATGAATTTTTTGGCCACTTGTACTTCTTTAGAAAAATATCTGCTCATATCCTTTGCCCAGTTTTTAATAGAGTTGTTTGTTTTTCTCTTGTTGAGTTGTTTGAGTTTTCTGTAGATTCTAGATATCAGTTATTTGTTAGAGGCATAATGTGCAAATGTGTCCCCCATGAAGTAGGTTAACTGTGTTTATCATTTCTTTGTTGTGCAGAAGTTTTTTAGCTTAATAAAGCCCCAGTTGTCTATTTTTATTTTTATCGACTACGCTTTTGTGGTCTTAGTTATAAATTTTTTTTATAGACCAATGTTTATAGAGTTTTTCTTAGATTTTTTTCCTAGCATATTTCTAGTTTGGGGTCTTAATATTTAAGTTTTCATTCATTTTCAGTTGATTTTTTATGTGGTGAGAGAAAAAGAATCCAATTTCATTCTTCTGTATATGATTGTCCAATTTTCCCAACACCACTGGTTGAATACAGTGTCCTTTCCTCATTCTTTATTTTTGTGAACTTTGTCAAACATCAATTGGTTGTAGGTGTGTGACTTCTTTTCTGGGTTTTATATTTTTTTTCTATTGTTCTATACATCTTTTTTTATACTAGTGCCATGCTATTTTATCTACTATTGCCTTATAGAATAATTTGAAGTTAGACAATGTGATGCTTCCAGATTTGTTCTTTTTCCTTAGGATTGCTTTGTCTTTTTGGTCTCTTTTTGGCCAACTTGAGATGATTTTTTTCTAATTCTAGGAAAAATGATGTTGGTAACTTGATAGGGATTATATTGAATCTGTAGATTGCTTTGGGCAATACGGTCATTTTTGCAATATTTATTCTTCCAATTCACGAGTATGGAATGTCTTTCCATTTATTTGTGTCATTTATAATTTCTCTCATCAGTGTTTTATAGTTATCCTTGTAGAGATCTTTCACCTCCTTGGTTAAATTCATTCCTAGATAATTTTTGTAGCAATTGTAAATGGGATCACCTTTCTTACCTATTTCTGAACTAGATTATTGTTGGTGTGTAGAAATGCTACTGATTTTTTATGTTGATTTTCTGTAATGCCACTTTATTGAACTTATTTATTACATCTAAGAGGTTTTTGGTGGAGTCTTTAAGTTTTTCAAGATAGAATATCATATTGTCAGCAAAGAGGGACAATTTAACTTCCTCTCTTTCCATTTGAATGCCTTTTATTTCTTGCATTTGCCTGCCTGTTCTGGCTAAGATTTCCAGTACTATGTTGAATAGAAGTGGTGAAAGTAGGTATTATTGTCTTGTTCCAATTTTTAGGAAAAATTCTTTTAACTTTTCATCACTCTTTGTGATACTACTTATGGATTTGTCTTATATCACCTTTGTTATTTTGAAGTATGTTTCTTCTATGTCTAGATGATAGCTTTAATCATGAAAAAATGTCAAATTTTATCGAATACTTTTTCTGCATCTATTGAAGAGATCATGAGTTTTTTGTGCTTTGTTCTGTTGATGTGAATCACATTTATTTATTTGGATATGTTGAACCATTCTTGTATTCCTTGTACGAATCCCACTTGATGATGCTGTATTAACTCTTTGATGTGCTGTTGAATGTGGTTTACTAGTATTTTGTTGAGGTTTCTGTATCAATGTTTATCAGAGATATTGGCCTATAGCTTTATTTATTTTTTTTGTTTTGTCCTTGTCCAGTTTTGATTTCAGGGTGAGGCTGACCTCTTGGTTAGGAACATTCCCTACCCCCTTCAATTTCTGAATAGTTTCAAGAGGATTATTATTAGTTCTTCTATGTAAATTTATAGAATTTGGCTGTGAATTCATTCAGTCTTGGGCATTTCTTTGCTGGGAGACGTTTTATTCCTGATTCATTCTTACTACTCATTATTGGTAAGTTTAAGTTTTCTATTTCTTCCTGATTCAATCTTGTACATTGTGTGTTACTGAGAACTTACTCATGTCCTCTAAGTTTTCCAGTTTGTCAGCATATAGTTGTTCATAATAGTTTCTAATGATCTTTTGTATTTCTCTGATATCAGTTGTAATGCCTTCTTTTTCATTTCTGATTTTATCTTAGACTTTCCTTTGTACATCCAGTTAGTGGTTTATCAATTTTGTTTATAATTTTGAAAAGCCAACTTCTTATTTTTTTTATTATTTGTATTTTAATCTCTGTTTTACTTAATTTTTCTTTGATTATTATTATTTCTTTTCTTCTGCTTATTTGAAGTTTGGTTTGTTCTTGTTTTTCTTGTTCCTTGAGAGGCACTATTACATTATTAATTTGTAATCTTTCTACTTTTTAAAAGTAGATATTTATTACTATAAGCTTCCTTTTTAGCCTTGCTTTTGTTGTATTCCATAGTGTTTCGTGTGTTGTGTTTCAGTTTTATTTGTTTCAATAATTGTTTTATAAATTCTATCTTAATTTCTTTGTTGACACAGTGGTCACTCAAAAGAATGTTGTTTAATTTCCGTGTATTTCTATGGTTTCCAAACGTGTAAACACTCTTAACAAAATAATATCAAACTTAATTCAACGGCACATTAAAAACACAATGCATCATTATCAAATGGGATTTATCACTAGGATACAAATATTATTCAGTATACACCAATAAATAAATGTGATATACCACATTAACAGAATAAAGAGAAGGATCATATGATCCTCTGAATAAATTCAGATAAAGCATTTGACACACTCCAGCATCCCTTCATGAAGCAATTCTCAACCAACTGGGTATAGAAAAAATGCCTGTCAACATAATAAGGCCATGTATCACCAATCCACAGCTGTTATTACTCAATCATAAGGAGCAGTACCTTTTTTCTCTAAAATAAGAAACAAGACAAAAGTACTCACTCTCACCACTTCTATTCAACACAGTAGTGGAAGTCTTAGTTATAGCAAAAGGAAAGAAAAGTGCCATCCAAATGTAAAAAGAAGTAAAATTCTCTGCTTGCAGATGACATGATCTTGGATACAGCAAATTCTAAAGATTCCAACAATAAATGCATTGGATACAGCAAATTCTAACAATTCCAACAATAAGTGTGTTGGAAATAATAAACACATTTAGAAAACTAGCAGGATATAAAATCAATATTCAGTAATCAATGTATTTCTAGACACTAACAACAAAATATCTGAAATTAAATTTCTGAAAAATCTTATTTAAACATCATCAAAATAATAAAATATGTAGGAATACATTTAACCAAGGATTTGAAAAAGTCTGTACCTTAAAAATTATAAGATATTGATGAAAAAAATGAAGGATAGACACAAATGAAAAATGTCCTTTGTTCATTAATTGGAAAATTAATGTTGTTAAATGTTCCTAATTCACAAAGTGACGTATGGATTCAGTGTGATTTCTAACAAAATTTCAATGGTGTTTTTCACAGAAATAGGATAAACAATTCTAAAATAAGTATGGAACCACAAAAGACCTCAAATACCCAAAGTAATCTTCAGAAAGAAAAAGCTAGAGTCTTCACACTTCCTGATTTCAAATTATATTACAATGCCACAGTAATAAAAAGAATATAATATTGGAATTAACAACTTACACATAGACCAATGAAACAGAACTGAGACCCCAGAAACAGATTCACACATATGCTATACTATCTTGGTATCATTGATAAGGATACCAAGCTTGCATAATGGCAAAAAGATAACTTTCAATAAATGGCATTGG